TGGGAAGATGAAGGTATACAACCCACGGATGGGTATGGACGCCCTTCAGGTTTTCCCAGCGAGCCGAGCAGCTGCAGACCAGCGTGCAGGACGAGCTGGAAGAACTGGTCCTGGCACATGCTACAGGCTCTTTACAGAATCAGCTTACCAGAATGAGATGCTCCCTAACCCTGTGCCAGAGATTCAAAGGACCAACCTGGGGAATGTGGTGCTTTTACTCAAGTCCCTTAAAGTTGAAAATTTGCTCGACTTTGACTTTATGGACCCTCCTCCCCAGGAGAATATCCTCAATTCCATGTACCAGCTCTGGGTGTTAGGTGCATTGAACAATGTTGGCGGCCTCACAGAAATTGGCTGGAAGATGGTGGAGTTCCCGTTGGACCCAACCCTAGCAAAGATGTTGCTCATGGGAGAGAAGCTAAAGTGCCTTGATGAGGTGCTGACCATTGTATCTATGCTATCAGTGCCGTCGGTCTTCTTCCGGCCGAAGGACCGAGCAGAGGAGAGTGATGCAGCAAGGGAGAAATTCTTTGTCCCTGAATCTGACCACCTTACACTCTTGAACGTATATCTGCAGTGGAAGTCTAATAATTATCGAGGAGATTGGTGTAATGACCACTTCCTGCATGTCAAAGGTCTCCGTAAGGCTCGGGAAGTAAGATCGCAGTTGCTGGACATATTGAAAACCCTGAAAATCACCCTGACATCATGCGATATGGAATGGGATGTGGTGAGGAAAGCAATCTGTTCCGCTTACTTCCACAATTCAGCCCGATTGAAGGGTATTGGGGAGTATGTCAACTGCCGGAATGGGATGCCTTGCCACCTGCACCCCAGCAGTGCTCTCTATGGCCTTGGCTACACTCCTGATTACGTCGTGTACCATGAACTGGTCCTGACAACTAAGGAGTACATGCAGTGTGTCACCGCAGTCGATCCTCAGTGGCTTGCGGAGTTGGGCCCCATGTTCTTCTCGGTGAAGGAAACCGACACCTCCCTTCTTGACCACAAGAAGAGGCAGAAGGAAGACAAGACGGCGATGGAGGAGGAGATGGAGAAACTTAGGCAGGAGCAAGCCGAGGCGGCACGGATTGAGAAGGAGAGGGAGCAGGAGAAGAGAGCCAAGCAGCAGCAGCAGGTTTCTATGCCGGGCCTGAAGAAAGGCTCGACGTACCTGAGGCCCAGAAAGATGGGTTTGTAGATAAAAAGCTTGATGAAACTTGACATTGTATGTGATTTTGTTGTTAGGTCGAGACAGTGTACAATATTCATGAGCTAATAGTCTGCGCTCTGCAGTATGTACAACACAAGATCTTGAATGTAACGCGACAACAGAAGAAAAATTAAATGATGCAAAACTAGTTTTTTGCAGTACCTTTTTAATCCAGAACAACTATTTAGTGTTGAGTTCTGAATACAATTTTATATTCAAGTTTTCAGATGCTACTGTACAAAATTGTGACAGTTTTGAAACTGGAGTATATTCAGATCGGCGCAGGAGCAAGCCGAGGCGGCACGGATTGAGAAGGAGAGGGAGCAGGAGAAGAGAGCCAAGCAGCAGCAGCAGGTTTCTATGCCGGGCCTGAAGAAAGGCTCGACGTACCTGAGGCCCAGAAAGATGGGTTTGTAGATAAAAAGCTTGATGAAACTTGACATTGTATGTGATTTTGTTGTTAGGTCGAGACAGTGTACAATATTCATGAGCTAATAGTCTGCGCTCTGCAGTATGTACAACACAAGATCTTGAATGTAACGCGACAACAGAAGAAAAATTAAATGATGCAAAACTAGTTTTTTGCAGTACCTTTTTAATCCAGAACAACTATTTAGTGTTGAGTTCTGAATACAATTTTATATTCAAGTTTTCAGATGCTACTGTACAAAATTGTGACAGTTTTGAAACTGGAGTATATTCAGATCGGCGTGCGGACGCTTCAAAATTTGGACTGCTGCATCGTAAAAAGAAATTTGTGTGGCTGCTGGGATTCGAGCCCAGGTCTCCACGGCCACAACGTGGAATTCTCACCACTAAACTACAGCCACATATGTGTCCGATCTTATTAAGTTACTTTATTTATACAAATATACGTTCTTTTTTTTTTTTGGTTTTTTTTTTAATACACCGCACCGCTGGCTTGTCATAGGACCGTATACATATACGCTGGGCTATTTATTAATGCGTCACTCAAGATAAATCGAAAGTTTCATAAATCTTGCACTGGTTGTCTTAACTTATTAGGTGTCACATTTTTTTTAAGATGTTCTAAAGAAAGAAAAAAAATGGGCAGACACTTGTTTTAGACCAGAGTACTAGTGAAACTACACACAAGGGTTGCCTCGATGCTGCGCTTCGGCAACAGCACCACTGAGCATCATCCACAGACCATTGAGGCTTTGAAAATACATGCATTTGCCTTAATATTATTTTTATAAAACATAGTTTCACTGGAATAATTCAGATTCACAATTAGTGCAGAGGTCAGCTGAGAACTAAACTGTCAGAACAAGTAACACCACGATCAGTAAACATCCTTGGCGTCAATGACAACACAAACTAATATTTCATTACCCCTTTGCCCTCTTTTTTCCCTTTTTTAACTGAATGCCCAGTCAAGATATCACTCTAAATAGACTTGGAGTGTGAGAACCACAAAACTGAAAGCGAAGTCCATTCTGTGGCGACTTGGTTACAGATGACAGTATGTCACGGACTGTAGGAACTAATTTTACTCGACATACAAGGTTGCCTCATGGCAGAATAGGTTACATAACACAAACCCAAACAATCTTATTATCCAAGCAACAATGGCTCTTCGCAACCTGATGGGTTATAGGCTCGCTATTGACAGCAGTTGATCTCTCCTTCCTCAACATCAGCATTCAGGGAGGGTGACATGTTCTCCATTTCATGTTCGACCTCTTCCTCAAGATCTTTCTTCATAAAGAGGCCGAGCGCCTCCAGTGGGCTACCAAGGTCAGTTGGAAACTCAATGCCATTAACAAATTCCATAATTAGTTTGCAAGGGGGGTTCGATTGCCACTTTTGGCAAAAGCTCTCCAGGTCCTTCAGAAAGTCGCTATTGTCAATATCAACCGTCTTCTTCATCTGCATGGAAGGAGGAGATATATCACATAAACATAGCTAAACATCAACAGTAGAAACTTTCTAGTAAGATAATGGCAAATATGAAGTACCATGTGCAGTGCCACTCGTGCAGCCTTTCGTTCCTGCTCCCTTTTCATCCTTGTTTCTTCCTCTAGCTTTAATTGCGCAGCAGCTTCAGCAGCCTTTACCTGAGCCTCAATCCTTGCTTTCTCTGAAACATGAAAGAAACTTGAAATGATGACATGCAAGGTCAACATTCAAAGTGCAGGGCTGACATAACCCTTGCACATACTATTAGAAATGGAACTAATATGACAAAAAATAGGAAAAATCTTATAAACAACGCTCTAAAACTTTGCCAAAAAAGGATGCCAAATTTATCTTATGCATATGGTATCAAAGATGTCTATCATCCAATATGTTTTCGTCAAGTAAAAAACAATCATATTATTTCTCTGTTTAGTGATCTAACGTCACAGCGCCACAGAATATGAAGCACCATTGTTTATCCTGTATTCTTGAGAACCAAGCAACAAAGGTATATCCACGGGTTAGAGAATCAGAAGGAAATTTTCCTTCTGATTTCTGAATTTAGAAATTAAAATTCATACATCAGAACTCTATGTTTAAGCAATTTCACAAGAGAACTATTGTGATATTCCTCAACAATAACAACAAAGCCTTTTTAGTCCCAAGCAAGGTGGGGTAGGCTAGAGATGAAACCTAAAGGACCTCGATAAACTAGCCATGGTTCTGGCACATGGATGGCCGATTTCCACGCTTCCCTCTTGTGATATTCATATTCCTCATAAAAAAAAAGAATGCTCTATCACATGAGAAACTAAAAAGGTACACAATGAGAATATGGTCCAATTGAATGAAGGTATTTTTCGGGGAAACTCAGGACATTTGGGGATGTTAGACGTCTGGGCTGTCAGCCATAAGTGGTTACTGATGATAATGGTTAGTTGAACAACACGCATTCTGCTTCTCATTCAATAGAACTTGATAGAAAAACAGACACTGAAGGCAGCTACTGGCTCCCAAAGTCAGCAAGAATAGGGCTTCCACACAAAAGACAGCACTGATAGTGATTGGCAATTAGTACAGGACAGTGATACCAACAGCCCCTGAGTGTAGGAGCAGCAACAATCAAGGAAGATATTGCTACTGGCGAGGCTAGGAAGACAACAGCAATGGAGTACATATTAGAGCTTCATTAGGCATATATCTAACTGATATCTTGGGTGTTTTATATTAGCATGAATAGCCAATTTATCAGTTTGCTACCAACCCCAATAATGACCAAGCAACTACAATTAAACGATAGATGGTGGGTACCAATTGTATTAGTAATGTGAGGGAGAGAACAAAGTGGAGTAGGCAGTTGTAGGGTAACGAAGCAAGTAGTGGTGGTGCAAGAAATTTGGGTTATGATTCAGGCCAAATGGCCAACATACAAACATCTATTAGGCAAAAGAGTACCACATAACGATTCAACAAATATGATACAGAGTACAACCTAAACCCAAAAGGCATATAGTTCAGTTTTCTTTCTTTTGTTAATTTAGATGATAGGTAAGTTGAAATAAATATAACTCCATAGTTTAAAGCATTTGTCTACAAAAACCATTTTAAAACAGTTAACATAAGCACATTAAGTATTGTTGAGTAAAAGCTAAAGAAAAAACTCATAATCAAATATCCCAAGAGGAATAGTAAAAGGCCAAAGATAAACTCCTTAAACCAACTCAATCCTCAAACAAACTCACATTAATCAACTGTAACTCCTTGTCTATTATGCTCACCTCCTTAAGACACAAGCACAGTTTCTAACATGGAAACTAGAAAATTTAATTGAAAACTAGTTAGTATTCGAGGATGTTTTCGAGAATGCCACCACTCGGACTTGAACCGAGACGCATGAGCACTGCTCATTAAGAGCAGCGTGTCTACCAATTTCACCATGGCAGCTTACTCGATAAAGAGGTATTTAACAAGAAAAATAAGGTATTTCATCACGAATCATCAAACGGGGAGTTCATACAATTTAGCAACACCATCTTTTAGCTTATAGAGGGCATATGCTTTAGCTCTACAACTATTTGTGCAGCTCAGCATATACAATCTATGCCCCACTATCCGTACCTAGTACATGTGTTCCAAATAACAATTTTTCTCTCTAAAATTCAATATCGTATAAGAGCAGCATTGACTAGCTCCGTTCAATTACTCCAGTCATATACCATATTACAAAAAATACTTTCACTAATGTACATCAAACTGATCTTACAATTGATAGATTGTTCAAGAATCAACTTCATTAATCAAACCCATCATAAAATATCCTCTATTATGCTACCATACGCTGTGAACGGAGATGTTAAGAAATATTTGAACAGGGATTTATCCCCTTGCATCACCAGGACAAATAGTTCATTTAAGGGTGGCTTCAAATTTAAACCTAAAGATTTCCAATGCGAGATGTCAAGCAATTTTTGGGTCTAAAAAATATATTTATCAAAGAACCAACTAAATTATGTGAAAAGAGACTAATCCTAGTGTGAACTCTATGCAAATACTAAGACACAGTTGAAATCGTCAAAGTTATCAGAGGCGCGGAGCAATTCCCTACCTTCTTGCTGCTTTTTTTCCAACCTCTCTTTCTCCAACTGCAATTTTGCAGGATCTATTTCCTTCCCCTAGAAATCAACACGAAACTCAGTAATAGCACCATATTTATATATAAATATCTTCTGCAAAAGAATATTTTAATTGTAGGTTACAAGCACAACATTCAGAATGCATTCAGAAATATTACATGATCTAGAAGTGCATTCTGCTGCGCCTTAACAATTGTTCCAGCAAAACGACGCTTGAGCATTGCGATACGAAGGGCTTTACTTGGTGACAAAGGTTCGAGGTGCAAACTATCTTCCTCACCTAGAATAAAACATCACAGTTATATTAGCCAACAATATGGAGAAAAGAGCGCTATAACTTCCTAACTATTACCCAAAAAATAAGGACCTAAAAGTCCACCCAAATATGACAAAGAGAGAGTATGTGGAAATAACATTGCCCGGATAAAGGAAGAGATGCAGTAGAATTGCAAGACAATGATTTATTTCCTGAGATGGCGAGAAAGTGTTTTAGATAACAGAAACTGTAGTATAACATATAAAATTTTAGAAAACATCAGCATACCATTTAATTCAAAGCTGTTATCATTCGATTGAATCCTTGATATTTTAGCATTCCCCTGAAAATAAAATATAAAACTTAAGAGCAGAAATTCTTCATTCATTCCGCTATCGATAACAAGTAATGACACATTGGCATGTATCACATGACATCAAAATAGAAATAAGGGAACTCGGGCACGATACCTTGGTACAGGGGACTGAATTATTTAAAGAGCAGTCGCTGCTATCAGCTGCATGAAAATGCATATCTGCATCAGAAGGGGGAACATTAAAATTGGTTAAAATCAACAGTATGAGAGAGGTCTGTTTTTTTCACACCTTTGGAAGATGTATTCTTAGATCCTCGCACGGAAAACTTTATTTTAACCTGTCCAGACAGCAAATAGCAGTACTTTAAAATTATATGGACATTAAAAAATAATAATCAAAGCAAACTAGGTAGAGTATATGGCGACCCTACTTTGGAGGATATTGCATTTATCAGCGGCTCAGTTGCAAGTGAATTTGACTTTGCAACCAGCTCGCTAGTAATCATAGACTTCAAGTTGATAGCAACTCGATCTTTTATTGCTTTCCTTGGTTGCTGCTCTTGTATTGGATTTCTGTGGTCCCACTTTCTTTCTACTGATTTCCATTCTGATTCAAATGTTCTATTTAACTGTTCTGCTATTGTGTGGACATCATTTCCTGGAGGATTATACTTCATCGCATTTGAGAATGTTAGCCTCACATCTGCTGCAAACTCATCAGGACTAACATATTGGTTGCTTGTGAGTTTTTTCTTAACAGTACCCAAGTCCATTGGGTTGCGGATGACGTCAAAATAATCCGGAATCCCATAAAGAACAGGGTCCACTGGTTTATTAAAAAGCCAACAACCTTTGTGATCCATAAGCTTCCTTAGAATCTTCCCACACAGCCTTGTCTTGCTAACATTCATGCTTTCAACCATTGTTTCTATTAAGCAGCTGATGCTCAAACGTAGAGATCGATGTCACGTCAGATTTTTGAGAGTTTACTTCCCTTAAACTCTGAATCTGTTCGAGAACTTTCTGATCCACTCCTTATATAGATGCCCTCTGATTCTTATAGGCTTGTGAGCTCATATTCCTCGGCAAGAAATAGAATTCTTGATGGCGATTTTGAGTACAAGTAACTTTAGACTTTGTTGATACCCTACAACAACACAGAACATATTCTGTCAGAGTTTCAAATAGAAGATTCAGAAAGAAGCAAGTTAACAAACATGCCCTAATCAAATGATAAGCCCACAAAGAAAACAATACCAGATCGTAAACGGAAACGCTCTCGAGGATATAACCATACAAATTTACAACGGTTCCTCTAACAGAATCCAACGACCATTCCTCTGCTTGAGAAAATAAAGGGAAATGCATATATATAGTCTATTTTAAATAGGAGTACATTTATGTACATATTTTATGGCTTGTAAATCCATGAACACAACGCATCAAAACCAGCAGCCGTTTCTATTTACACGTTTTGTTAAGCAAGATGTCCATACTTTTGATACTACACCCGATACTTCTAAACAATAATCATACTTCGTTTGCAGTATCCAAAGATTACCACTCCCCACTACGACTTTTCCTTTTTAATCCTTTTGTCGTTACACATAAACTTACTTGAGTGAGAGAAGGATCTGTACGGAAACCATGGCACGCAACATGCTGTTCCTTAGTCTAGACCCAGATGCCCAACTATCGCCCTTGGCACATAGCACTGCAATTCCTTGAATATACCCTACAAGCCTCAATTATGCCATGCCAGTTGCCCAATTATCCAACCCAATCGACGGAACCATTACCAATTGGTAGCTTTGAAACCCTAGCGCTAGGATCAGCACCTACTCGACTACTTGGCCCCTCACGAAGAGCGATAAGGAGAGAAGAACCAACCTGCTGTTAGCCCTGCCGCCGAGGGGAGCACGAGCAACGGGACAAATCCCGCCCAAATCCTCCGTCCCCCGTAGGGTCGAGAGGCCCCCTCACTTCGAGATCCTCCCAGAACTCCTCAGATCCCGCAACGGCGCGGGGCGAGTCGCGGGTACGAGAGGTCGCGAGGGCGCCGCGAACAAAACCGGCGCCGCAGCAGAGGTAGTTCTGCCCTGCTCTTCACCGGCGAACGGCGGTGGGGAAGGGAAAGGGACGGCGGCGTTGAGGGTAGGGTTTAGCGCGGGCTCGGGGGAAGCAAGCCCGACCGACTGGAGGAGTGAGGGAAGCCTGCCTTCACTTCGCTCCATTGATAGTGGGCCCAATGTGGTGGCGTGGGGAAGCTTGGCCCCGCCTGGCAGTGTAAGAGCGCCGACTCGTGTGATAAGCCTCTGCCTTTCCTTTCTCTTGCTTCGTTCTCTTCACCTCCTCCTCCACCTCCAAGCGGTGGAAAGAGGGCGCCCCCAAACCACCGGAGAGGCAGAGGCGAGCCGGCCTCGGACTCCTCGCCGGTGAGTTGGTTCTCTCGCCCCCCTCCTCCTCGTCGTATTCCTTTTCTCCATACGTATCGCAGTTGAGGGAGACCTCGTGCTCAGATCCGGGCTAACATTTCGCGGGGGTTCGTGAGCGGAGTGCTGCGAAATGCTGTGGTGCGTTTGGGTTCTGGTGCCATTTACCGGGTCGCTGTACCTGTCGGATTGTTCTGCATTATGTCAGGGTGTATTCAACTACTAGGTTCGTATGATTTGGAAGCGGCGTACTGGGGTTGTATTTGAGCAGGCGCAAATGGAGGCAAATTAAGCTCTTGTATTGTGCAGCTCTCTATCTATGATTTATGGTTATTTTGTGGTCGATGTATTTGTGTGCACTGTGGGATCTAGTTATGGATTTGATTGTGTTCATTTTTTCTTTAGGGGAAAATGTCACATGCATTCCGCTTGTAGGCTTGTAGCTACTGACTGGGGACATTTAGGACTTGTTAGGCTGCAATGCTTTGTGCCGTCTTGTTATGCATTTTTTTTCTTTTTTCTTTTTTCTTTTTTGAGGAATTATGCATTTTTCTTTTGAAAGAGTCGCTCACATTTACACCCTCAACTTGCTGAGTAGTGTCACATCCTTGGTCAATCATGGCATTCTGTTTTAGTAATTTGTTGGTTTTATACCCAATTCTTCAGCTACCGGAAAAGCAAACTTTAAACCATATCTGAATTATTATTGTAGTTTTACCATGCAGAGGTATTTTCTTCCCTTGAAAATCTGTGATTGGACTTTTTCGTTGTTAATGATCAATCTAATTTACTGTCTGGTGCTTGAAAGTGAATGGTGATTTAGCAACCACTTCACAATATCATGCAGATGTTAACGATGTGAGCGGCCAAACATTGTTCTGGCTGTACATTCACCATACTGGTTGCAAACATCCTACCGTGCTATTTCATTCATACTTTTTGAAAAATGCAAATAGCAACAGTCCTGCTCTGTTGATACCCCCCAACCCAGTTTGCTATACCTAAAACAAATGTCTTCATTCATGTTTTCCAGGACAATGGACCTTGAATCTGAGGGTTTGGTAGCACAACAACAAAAGGCAAGTGGTCGAAGACCAGTTGGTAGCTCGCAAATTTGGACAGTATGTTGCTTTCTTGTTCCATATTCCTTTTCACTTTGCCAACGTACACAAAACTGATTGACTGACTCAAATTTTTTTTTTGTAGCGGTACGGTGTTCTGCTTCCAAGCCAGCAAACTCGAAAACTAAAAGAATGGGTTCTGACTGATCAACAGCAGCAACTGGTTAATGCTAGTGGTCTTGGGCA